CTTCCTAGGCCCTGGTGCCTGTCCATGGTGGTCCTCACCCCAGGAGGGAGCGAGGCTTGACTTTGTCACTGACACAAAAGCGACTGGCAGGGACAGATACCTCCGAGTTCCGTTTCCTCTTTAGTTAAATAGTAGTTTAATGTGAACACAAAGCACAGATTCACCCGATGACGTTTGGACGGCTGGGACATGCCAGGACTGCTGGCACGGGGGCCTATGAGGCAGACACAGCCCCTCCTGCCTTCAGGGGTGGACACTCCAGAGCCATAGGGCACTTGAATGTGGCCAGTCCACCCTGAGGTGGGCAGAAAACAGACCAATTTCTGAGACTCAATGAAAAAAAGATTGTGTCTTACTAATACTTTATACTGATCACATGTTGAAAGACAATTTTGGACATATTGGGTTATATAAAATTTATTCATTAAAATTAATTTCTCTGACTTACTTTTTAATGTGGCTACTAAAAGAAATTGCAAATTTCATATGTGGTTCTCATGATATTTCCAGGGGTGAGAAGACACTCAACTGATTAAAATACATTACTGAATGTACACAGGCGACATACGTCTAATTATGCATCGAATGAAACAGCAGGTATAAGGAAGAACGGGGCCCACTGGGGTGGGAGGCAGGACTACGTTGCGAGGGTCAGTCTGCCTGGCCACCATTCGGGACCCTCAATGGCACGTCTCACACAAGATTCTCAAAGTCCTGGAGGCTGCAGGTCTGAGGCCAGGGCGTGAGCAGGGTTGGCTCCTCCTGAGGTCTCTCTTCTTGACACACAGATGGCCTCGTCTCCCTGTGACCTCATGTGGTCATCCTTCTGTGCATCTATGTCCTCATCTCCTTGTATAAGGACCCCAGTCCGATTAGACTAGGGCACCCTGGTGACCTCAATTGCCCTAATTATCTCCTTAAAGGCCTGTCTCCAAATACAGTCACATCTGAGGTGTGGGGGACTTCAACCCATGAACTTGGGGGATATGGTGGAGCCCATCACTGAGGACTAGTCTGGTGAGGATGTGTTTGAAGGGCCTCCAACAAGAGAGGGCAGATAAGACCCAGGCAGGGATGGCGTGGGTGCGCTCATGGCCCGTGGAGGAGTCCGGTCCTCAGAAACAGCCACCGCTAAAAACCAACCAGCAAGACCACTGTCTGCCCCCTTGGAAAGGCCCCAGTGCATGGTGCAGGGCAGTGAGTGGGGTCAGGTCCATAAGGAGAAGGTTCTCGAGCAAGACGTTTGCTTATTTGATCCTGGAAATTAGCTTTCATTTGCTTGCTTTAAAATATAGTCACATAATGGTTCAGAACTATGGACTCACTGGAAGGAGCTGGAAGTTTTGCTTGAACAGATTCTGGTGTGAGATGTGGTTCTCAATGAGACTTCAGGGTTTGGGACGCAACGAGAAAACCCAATGCCATAGATGGGCAATGCTTTCATGGCAAATTTCCAAGACATATTGTTAACTGAGGAAAAGCAAGCAGCAGAACTAAACACAGTTATTTTAAAAACTACAAACACAATCAGAAGAAACACATCCAGATCTTCACACGTCCATATGTTCCATGTGCAAATCCACCCACAAGGCAGAGATCTGGGATAGGGCCAGAAAAGGGAGGGGGCTTTTCTTTTAACTCTACATTTCTCCTGTACTGTTGGGAGTTTATTCTGTTTTAATGTTAAAATGCACAACAATTATGTAAAGAGAAGAGAGAAAAGAAATATAAACTACAACAGATGGGAGGCTGGGCTCGCTGGTGACTGCACTGGGCGTCCATCATCGCTGGATTTTGCTGTGTGAGTTTGGTGAGGCCATGTCCCTCTCTGGACCTGAAGCAGAAATTTAAGCAGTGCATCCTGATGGTGCAAGCATGCATGAGCCCACATGTGCGGGTCACATTCATGCTCACAACACACACACACGTGCACACAAACATGTGCCAAGGTGCATATGTGCAGGCGTGAACACTCGTGCACCCACATGATCACCCACATGACACTCAATCACACATGCACGTTCCTGGGCAAGCACAGACACACACGTACATTCTTGCTTGCACACGCATACACACTCCTGCGTATGTGCATGCATATACTGGTCACGTGTACACAGGCATGGCAACATGTGCACACTTGTGTGTACATACATGTGAACACACACTCCTGGGGGCACAGCCCTACCAAACCCCTGGTCCTTAAGGGGAAATGGGTCAAGGGTGACTCGGGAGCTGGGGATCGGCTAAATCTGCAGCTAGGACTGCTGGGTTGGAGTCCAGCCTTGACCATGGGGGTCCCTGCCTTTCCACCCTTGTCCTTGAGCCCTGATGTGACCTGACTTGCAGTGTGATGGGGTGGGGGCAACTCAGCCATGGGAAGGAGCTCTGTGAATTGGGAAGCTTCAATCAGGTGAGCTCCACAAATCTGAATGGGGGTCCACACACCTGGTCTACTGAAGCAGGTTCTGACAGTGACATTTGGGGACTGCATCTGTGCACCCACCTTTTTGAGCAGCCCGGCTGAGGTCCTGGAGTGTACTAGAAGCTGGAAAAACCTAGCAATTCACTTCCTTGCTCACTCTGGGCTAAGCAGAGTAACTAGCTTGCAGTGCCTGGCTTGGCTGTCCTGGGCTGGGCACAGGGAGAGGCTGGCAGGGTCGCACTGGGTGGGCAGCCAGGGTCCCCAGGAGGCCCCAGCAGGCGGCGCTGTCCTCCTGGCCCGGGGAGCGGAGGAGCCCTGGACTCAGCAAATCCTGTTACATCCTGGCAATTACAGTTTATCGCTGCGGCACTAATCCCTTAAAATTAGTCATTAGCAGCTTAAGAACCATTTAGCGTCGGTGCCTACTAAGGAGCTGGAGGAAGCCAGGGATCTGCCAGACCCAGAACTTTCCCTGGCCTGGGTGCCAGCAGGGGGCTGGGCAGGAACCGAGGCCTGCAGGTGCCCACCACTCCTACTTCACTTCCTCCCCACCCGGCAGGTGCAGGAAGAGGTGGGACAAACTCCAGTGGCAGATGGATCCTTCATCCTGAGACACATGACCAGGGACCTGGGTTCTCCTGGCCTCCCCAGACATGCCCCAGGGCTGGGCTGCTCTGCCCCTTCTGCCTCTGCCCAGGAAAACCATGAGATTGAGCAGCTGTTGGCAGAGTGCCTGGGGTGGGCAGGTTGGGCCTGGTAGGAGCTCCTCAAGGGGGAGATGAGCAGGGCCGGCCAGTCCCTGGACCCAGAGACCTCTGGCTGGGAGGGAGGAAGTTGGGGCGACTAAGGCAGGAAGGAGGCCCAGGCTGGGACTCTCATGAGGTCGCACTTGGAGAAGGGGCCCTGTGGCCTGTTAGCTGTCTAGGATCCACTGATTCTACCTAAGCTGAGGTGGGAGGTGACGGCAGGTGGCCCAGGCCAGCCAGCTGGAAGGTTGGGGCAGGGACCCTGACTCTTGAAGTGACAGTGGCTTGGGAACAGTTGGTGGAGTCCCATGGCTATGTGCCTGTGGGTTCCAGAGGCTGTGTATCTGGTGATGAGTCCTGATGGGGCTGTGGGTCCTCAGCTTCTACCCCAGATTCAGCAAATTCCATTCTTGCCCTGGTTAATTGGGATGCAGCTCTGGCCTCGTCTCCAAGAACATCAGCTTGGAGGTCCTGACTGATTTGTTCCCTGGAACGAGACATGCGTGCATACATACACGTGCACACGTGAAAAACGTGCACATGCATGCGCATACACACATGCACTCACACACACACCCTGCAACAGCTCCTGGGCCAAGGATTTGTGTCGGATTCTGCTCTGAGTGTTTTGGCACTGCTGGTGGCTCCCGGGCTCAGCTGATTCACTCATAGGTCACAGGTCCAGGCCTGGAGGTGGGAGAGCTGGGCCTGCTCCTGGCCTGGCCCTCTGCCCCATGTCTCCACAGGACATGGGGCCCAAGGACACTATGGAACCCCCGCTACTACCCCATGGTGGCTCTGGGGCTCCTGAGCAGAAGGCCAGCAGGCAGCACAGAGCTGGGGCCCATGGCTCACCCAGGGAGGGATGCAGAACACCCTGTTCCTCAGCATCTTCGGAACCTGAAACAAAGCAGAGCATACAGGAGGTGCTCAATTACTGTCCAAATGAGACAGTGAGTGACTCCACTGGGGCCAGCCTGAGAGGCCCCAGCAAGGGGTTTTCTTTTACAACTCCAGGCCCTGAGAATGGTAGCTGGTGGCCCTGGGTAGGCGTGGCTCAGGGCTGAAGGCTGTTGCCACTGTTGCCCTCACTGCCACCATCTGTCCATAGACCGTACTGTGGTGGCACAGTAGGGGATTCCCTCATAGTCCCCAAGCTCCTGTTTGGCTGGTGTGGGTGCTGCTGGCCTACCCAAGCCTGGTCTGGCTCCCATGTGACAGACTGGTCCATAAGGGCAGGATCCCCCAATCCCTGTATCCCAGAACCCTGGCCACACAGGATCTGCTGCCAGGCCCATGGACAGGAGGAAGCTTGAAGCTGAAAGGACAGATGCCTGCCAGCCAAAGGGACAGGGCTGGCCAGAGCCTACGGGAGGGAGTGGTCACCAGCGCTCAGCAGGAGAGGGAGGAGGGTGGGGGCAGGGCAGGCCTTGGCCACTCGGCTCCGGCCAACCCTGAGTGCTCGCTGTGTGCAGGGGCACACCTCTAACCTCCTGGTGAGGGACTGTCGTGGCTTACAGGTAAGGAGGGAGACTTAGAGAGGGTGAGACACTTGGATAAGGTCACAAAGCCATAGGTAACGGAGCTGAAACCAGGCCTGGGGGTGCCTGGCTCCAGGGCTTCACTCTCGGCCACCTCGAACACACCCTCCCTCCTCACAGCCAGGCGCACATCCCACCAATGCTTGTGACCCCAGACTCCAGAGCACACTGCCCGACGCCTGCTGGGCCTGGACCTAAGTGGAGACCATCTCTGCTGTTGGGGAACACGGCAGTGGCCATGGACCTCGCAGCGCGGAGCCAGGAAGCGTGGGCCTCAGACGCAGAGCCAGGTGTTGGGAAGATGGAGGAAATTTTATTTCACAAGGTGACAAATTGGGCTCCTTGCCTCAGGCCAATGGCCAGACTCCAGGACAGACAGGACTCTGAACAGCACAGCATCGGGGTCAGGTGGCTGGTGTGAGGACATCTGAGGAGAGGGTACGGAGGTGCCACCGAGCAGCTCCCTCAGGCCTGACTCTAGAGCAGGGTGCAGTGGCAGGAGGGAGAGGGGGACCTGGGTAGACACTGTCCTCTCCGGGTAGGTGCTGTGACAGAGGAGGCAGGGCAGGGCCAGCACCTTCCTGGTTACTTCACCACTGCTGTCAGGGGTGTGAGGCAGAGCTGGAGGCCCGGGCACGCCGGACACCACGGTCTGGCCCGGGGCTCGGGGCGCCATGCCGGCCAGCACTGGCTGCGGTCAGTCGGCGGGCTAGGCTGCGGTCTGGCGGCTGAAGAGGTCGAGGGTGAGGGAGCTGAGGAAGGCCGGGATGCTGTCCTGGCGGAGCAGGTGCAGCTCGATGAGCTCTGGCACAGAGCGCGAGAACTCCGTCTCCAGCAGCTGCATCTTGGAGCCCGAGGGTCCCGTGGCCTGCAGGCAGGAGAGATGGGACAGTCAGTGAAGGTCAGCAGGCAGTCTGCCCTACCCCCCATCCCCCTCCAACAATAGGGGTGGACAGAGAGGGGACACAGCCTTCAGGCATGGGGTGGGGGGAGGTTGGGTCAGGCAGGTGGGCCACAGGCTGCTGTCCCCAGCAGCTTCCTTCAGTCTGTGCAGCTGGGCCAGAGAGGGACCTTTCTGCCTGTCATGCGCCCAGAGAGGCCTGGTTCAAGGTCACCAGCAAAGACGGCTGAGATTTATACCAGGAAGGCTCGCCCTTGGGCTCCTCCAGGCATGGAGGGCAGGGTCTGTCATCTGGACAGGCAGCAGGGTGCCTGGGGGCTACCTTTGCACCAGCCACTAGGCTCCAGTCCCACCTGTGGCTGGCTGGGTGGCTGGGGCTGGGGACCTGAAGACCTGTGTTTCTCGACCCAGGGCAAGCCCTAAGAATCTTCCAGACTGCAGGGTGCTGCGGCCTTGAGCGAGTGGCTCCCTGCCCAGCCTGGGGCCCGGGGTCCCCCTCCAGCTGCCTGGGGCCAGGAGGGGAGGGGTGCCAGGCAGCGGGAGGACCCAATGGGAGCTGGTCCTGGCTCCAGGGACTCTGCAGCCCAGACAGGTCCTTTCTACTGCTTCCTTATGTACATGTCACTTCTAACCAGGGGAAGGCCATGAGGGTTTGTCACCAGTGATCTGGGGGAGACTAGAGACAGGATAGATGTTCCAAATACTGAGCTACAGTGGGGACGAGGGCAGGACCCCTCTGGAACAAAGGGGGAGACAGGCACAGAGAGCTCGGTTCTGCCCATAGTACTTGGTAGGTCTGGGCACACTGTCCTGGCACTGTCCTGGGACATAGGCTGGGGTGGGGGTGTAGGCCAGCTGGGGCACCTGGGCTGGATAGAGTGGACAGAAGCCCTAGCTGGCAAGGGGCTCCAATGCACCCAGGCACTTCTGGAGAGGGACTGGCAGTGCCTACTACCCCTGCCCTCACTAGACCCTGTCCTGGGAACTCCCTGTCAACACACCCAGGCCCACAGAGACCAGGCTGAGTAAGGGCCATCTGTGTCGTGCAGAGCTCTTACCACTCAGCCTGAGACAAATGGCCCAATTAAGAACTGGGTGAAGGGTGTGAGTGGACATTTTCCCCAGGAAGATGCATAAATGACCAATAAGTAGATGCGAAGCACTGATCCCGAGGGACACGTAAGTCAGAGCCATGGGGAGCCCCCACTCCACACCCATTAGGGCCACCACAGTAAAAAAGACAAATGTGCGCTGAGGAAGGGGAGAAACCAGAACTTTCTGCACTGCTAGAGGAATATAAATGACTCAGTGACCACGGAGGTCTGGGGATCCCTCAGAGTGGCCATGTGACCAGCAACTCTACTCCAGGTGTGCAGCCAAGGAACTGGACACGTGTCCACATGGAGATGCCACATCATTGTCTCAACAAGATTATTCTTAACAGTGAAAATGTGGAGGCCATTACTGACAAAGGGACAAAGTGGTGTGTCCACCAAGGGAACACTGTGCTGCCACAGCAAGGAACGGAGCACGACGTGAGCCACACGGGAGGGGTCTAGAAACACTCCAGGCCAGCCCCGAGCATGTATGTGTCCCACCAGGGCCCGAGGAGGAAGGTGCAGGTGCAGGGTGGGGGCGGGTGTGGGTGGGGTGCCTGCTGGGCACCTGGCTCCTTGGTGGGGAGATGGAAATGCTCTGGGAATAGGTTGGTGACCACTGGGCACCATGAAGATGCTGGAGAGATCCAAATGTGCACAGCAGTGGGTGAATCGCATGGTACCCGGATGTCTCCATGAGACATTTCTTTTTAAAAGCTCCTTTCTGCCCAGCACCCCTACGGTGCCTTCCCTGGGAGCTGCCTGGAGAGGCAGCTGCCCGGTGGGTCCTGGCAGTGCCTCCTTGAGGAGCTCACATGGGTGCTCCAGTGTGGGGCCCACCTACCAACTAACTCCTCACCTGGGTGAGGGGACCTGGGGGCTGTGGGCAGTACCCTCCTCCACGGTCACCTAGATATGACTGGGCGGTCTGGCTTTGCCCCCAACCCCTGTGTGACCTGTGCCCAGCCCTCAGTCAGCCTGCACCCCCGCATCCTGCCGGCCCTCAGCTGCCCGTCTAGCTCGTTACCTGCTCTTTCCTGATTTCTTACCTGGGCCGACCCCAGCCCTCCTCCTGTTCCAGTGCCCTGTTAATACATTTAGCCTTGTCATAGTTCAACACAAACCATTTTTAAACAAAAATAAGAGAAACCACTCTGACCTTTTACCAAGAAAATCCTTTCATTTCTGCCTTCTGCTCTTGATGCTGAATGTTTTCCCCTAAATGTCAGCGGGGCTGACTCTCCGGCAGCTGTCGGGGACGCGGGGAGCTGCAGGGCTGGGTGCGGGTGGGAGCAGGTTGGAAAGGATCTCACGTTCCCCTACCCAGTACCCAGGTGTGGCAATCAATGTCCTCCGGGTGCCATGCCTTCCCCAGTCCCTCCCCAGGTCCTGGTCATTCTGCATTTGAGACAGCTGTCACAACTCTAGCTCTGAGGATCGGGAAAGAACTAGAAGCCCATCAGATGCCCCCAGCTCCACCGGCTCATGGCACAGCCTCCTGTGGGCCGGGCACGGGGCCTGGCTGCTCCTTTCAAGCATTCTTGGGAGAAGGAGGCCACCTCAGACTGCCCTGTCCTCCAAGTCAGCGCAGAGGGCAGGAGCAACCCGTGCCATCCTCAGCAAACATCCCAAATAAAGGCAGTTCCACGCGTGTAAAACACCAGCCCCCAACAAGCCATGGCCATCCTGCAGTCCCCAAGGGGCCGCACCCATGGCTGGCCCCCGGGCTCTCAGCATTGCTTCCCCCTCCCCGTACCCCTGTCCTGCCCCACACTGGCAGGGGGCCACCTCCTCACTCAGATGCGCCTGGGCAGCCACCACGTCTTATCAGAATGTGCAGATTGAATTATGCCCTGCCGATCAATCTCTGCTCAGCCTCTGCCATGTTCAAATACCACCCGGTCCCCAGGTGCCTTGTAAATCACCATAATTAGGGGCTGTTCACTTAAAATTAGAGCGCAATTTTTTAAAAAGCAAATTGCCCAGTAAGACGTGTTGGCTGTGTCTAGAAATATTTATGGGCTGTCTATGTGCTGCCTCTGGCTTCTCTCCCCTCTCCCTCAGTGCGGGGAGGAACAGGCAGCCCTGTGGCAGCGGGCGCCTGGGGGAGGCCTGGGCAACCGGCCTTGACCAAGACGCTTCACTGCCCAGCAGAAGACAGACCTGCCTGGCCTTGGGGCGGGTCTGCCTGAGACCTCTGGCCCAGGCCTGGGAGGCCACGCTCTGGCCGCCGCGGCGCAGATGCGGATGCAGGAGGGCTGAGGCCAGGGGGCGAGGGGTTCCGCACTCTAGTGAGAAATGTGTGCCCATGATACAGGGGCTCGTTACTTCTAGCCTCGCCACCCCAGGCTTGATGGTGTCCCCACTGGTGTACACAACAGGTGCTTCACAGTGCTCCTTTGGCAAAGGGGCACCCTGAAGGAAAATGGCTGGGGCTGATGGAGACCCTCGGAGAGCAGAGGCGAGACATCCCTGTGTCTTCCGCCTCTGCTGACTGCAGTGGGGTGGGCAGAGGCGAGTGCAGTGCCAAGTCCCCATTGAGGGCAAGGGCACCTTCTGCAGAGGCAAGAGCGGAAGTTCCATAAATGAAGAAACCCCATGGAGGGGGAGGCTAGAGATTAAACCCTCTGCCCCGTGTGGGCCCCGAATCCTGACTCAAACAAGCAAAGCTGAACCAACACACTCACATCCTAAAACACTCAGGGAAAGAAAATCCTACCACTTCAAGGTGGTGGTGGGGGGTTATTTTAGGTGACAGTGGGACAGTGGTTAGGTCAGCAGAATGTCCCCATGGCGTCTTGAGGTGGCTGACTCCAGTGAAGAGCAGTGGGTCCCAGCTCAGCTGGGGCACCTTGTGTCAGGAAGTACAGATGTGCTCAACAAGGGTGCACAGAAGGGTGCAGGAACCAGAGTCAGTAAGAGAGACAACAGGAAATCCTTAAACATGGGAAGATTAAAGAACCCACTTCCAGAGCCCAAAGACCAAAGCGGAAGTCTCAGAGGAAATAAAACATACACAGAATTGAATGAAAATTAAAAGGTAATGCAGCGAATGCTAGTGGGATGCACCCCAGGCAGCGCTCAGGGAGACAGGAGACCAAAATGCTCACAGGAAACACCTCGAATCAGCAAGCAGAGGCCCTGCTGAGAGCAACAGGGGAGGGTGGGGCGGGGGTCTTGGAGGGAAGCAAAACAAACCCACGCCTGCACGAGGAGCAGGAAGGGCTGCAACCAGGAGCTGGGCCTTGGAAGGAGCAATAAGATGGGTCAAGCTCTTGCAAGAGCGGTGCAGAGGGATGACCGGCTCTGGAAGCCCACAGCGGACCTGAGGCTGTCTGAGGAAAACCAAAAACCTGCAGGTTCATGGATTTGACAAGTTGGAGGAGTGAACTGATTCCCTGAAAGAACACAAACTACCCAAACTGAGCCAGGGCGAGAGAGATGACCTGATCAGTTCTATACCCACTAAAAAAAAATTCATTTGTAATTAAAAAGCTCCTGAAAAGCCCTCTCCAGTCCCAGATGGCTTCACCAGAGATTTTTATTTGAACATTTAGCTAAGAATAAATATCATTTCCATAATCTCTTCCAGAAAACAAGAGAGGAAATACATCTTCCCTCACTAATCCTGTGTCCAAACTAGCAAAGATGGTGTATGCATGTGCACATACACTTCTGCACACACTCACACATATACACACTCTTGCATAAACATACACACATACACATATACATGCAAGCATAAGTGAATACACACATACATAAAAATATACAAATATATATCATGCACACACAGATGCACATAAATACACACACATATACACAGAAGCAAGCAGACCAGTATCACTCATGAGCAAAACTCCTCAGCAT